AGAATACATGTTGAATGGTTGTTGATTAGCACAAAATGATGGAAGCAAGACCACTTAGTTAAGGTGAGGCCCATGGCCCATATGTGACAGGTCCATGAACAGTCTTGAATGGACTGGCCCAAATGTTAAATATCCATGAACTCATGTGGGTTGGACGGATTTTCAGCTGGTTTAAAACCCGTCCAACCTACTAGGGTCAGGGTCAAAGCCAAGAGTTTATTATTCTAAAAATGTTCTTTGAATTTTATTTGTACGTATAATTTATCAATTTAATTCATTACAACCAATGTATTGATAATTAATTTCATACAATGTAGAATAATAATTACAACTACTGAATTGATAATCGACTTCATTCAACATAGATAAATAATTATAACCACTGAATTGATAGTTGACTTTGTTATCATTAATATAATGATGACAATAAATTAAAAGTCACTCACTTAGGTCGAATTAATATTTTCTCAATTGTGACTATATACTTAGGGTAGATAATCAAGTCGAATTATTCGGGTTCTGCGAGTTAAATTTAAATAAACTTTTAAATTCATTTAAAAAAGGGAGCTTGATTATTGATTTTAAAAATTCATTCTAAGTTTGTCATCCCATCGGATGGGGTCCACATTTCTCTCTGAATGCGGTCCCACTTTAGATGATGACATAGCAATGCTAGTGTGTATGGATTCTTTCATGGCTGGGGGTTATTAATTTTTGACACGGTACATTAACACGACACGAACATAACATAAAATTAATGTGTCGAACACAAAATCAAATAAGTTAATGGATAAAAACGGATCAACACACTTAAACACGAAAATAATCATGTCAAAATAAGATCAACTGATTTTGACCTGATTTACCATATATTTTAAACAGGTTGACATGATACATATACGAATTCGACCTAACCCATTTTAGACCCATTTAACCTGTTTATGACGGTATAATTTGCTTATTATGTATGACTGATGTGGTCTTAATATTATTATGACAATATATTAGTATAATTCTTGTTTTAATTTTTGGGTTGAAATTTGAATGTATTTTAGTTAATTTTAATTGATGAGATGTAATATGTTATTTGTAAAAAATTATTAAAAATTTTGGGTGAATAATTGAATGATATATTTAATGGTAATGAACTGGTGTGAAAATAAGTTATGTATGTTAAATATGTTTGTGTTTTGTTATGTGTGTTAAACAAATTAAACAAATTATGTTATATGTGTTAACTCAAAAACAACATATTTATTAAACGTATTAAACAATTAGGGTTTGGGTAAATCGTTTAATGATCCAGTTAAGTTAGTATTTACATATTTTGACGCGATTATTAAACATGTCAAGTTTGACTTTTACGATGTTCAACGCAAACAAAAAATCAACTCAACACGAAATGACTCTACACCCTACATGCGCGGTTAATAGTTGATTGTCGAGCAGTTTTTTTTGGGGGTGGTGTGGGGTGGGGTGGGGTGAGGGTTGGTTTTGAAGAAGAGAGATGGAGATGGAGATTTGTGAAACCCTAGCACCCATTTGCTTGTAATTGCACAAAGAAGACTGAAAGTCGCCCACCAATGTGCACCTTTCACGAGGATTAGGTCCCCTGACCTCATTACTTTCATAGCAATTCTAATTCATGGTACCTCTCTCTCTCTCTCTCTCTCTCTCTCTCTCTCTCTCTCTCTCTCTCTCTACTTTGTCATGGAATTTAGGGGAAAACCAACCTCGTTTGATATTTAGGTGAAAGCAAGAGCTGTGTTATGTTGGTTTAGTTATAATAGCTTGATGCTTGTCCTAATTATGTGTTTTTTTTCACCTGTTCATGGTATTGTAGATACCTTTATCTAACCAGGTGGTAACAACTGTCATGTTATTTGATTACAAAATTTGGTCAGCGTAACATTACTGAATATAGTTTGACGACTCTTAATACTTGAGAAAATTGAATCTTGTAGTGGGCAAGGTTCATTTTCAGCCTTGTTGCACACTATTTTCCTAATCAGGGGTTTCAACTTTGAAAGGCAAGGCATTAATTGAATTGATTCAATCCATATCACCAATGGATTTATCAATTCATTTCCCATCCATTTGTTAATTAAATATCCCTTGCATTTTATCTTTTCTATTAGCAGTGAAATAGATCAGTAAGACACAGCAATTTCTTCTAAATTTGTCTAAGAAAAGAAATTTTCTTCTGGCAGGGAGCACAAGGGGTAGATAATTGTTGTTTCAAGCCGGGGAATGTGAATATGGAACCATCAGAAGTAGAAGACTTGATGTCCAAAGAGTGTCAGAAAAATTGTTTGAAGCTTGCACCAACAAAAGAAAAACAAGACATGTAAATCCTTAACAGTTTCTGCTCAGGCCAACAGATCACAATTCATAGTACAGATTTCGTAAATCCTTAACAATTCCTATTTTTATGCTCTTTCTTGCCAAGAAGACCTCATAGAAACATGTATAAACTTCTGGTGATAATATACATAACACTCTCCACTTTCTATCTTCTTTTCTACCGTTCCTTTGATATCAAAAGCTCCCACCAAGTTTGTTCTTACATATCTATTGGCCTACAAAGATGTCCCATAGCAAAATTCACTCAACCCCATATGAGCCACTCGATTGTGCCTTTTCTCTTTAGTTTTATTCTTCACTCCTGTTTAGCTGATATCTATTTATATGCACTCTTGATGTAATGTTTGTTGAAATCATTCTGAAACAAAAACACCAAAGGTGTATGTTGTGAGACTAGCAGTGTGGTCATAATTTACTTAAAAGGTTGTCTAAAAGCAGAATAAAGTGGCCAAACCAAAGTGCTTTTCCACCGCAACTTTCACAAAAGTGCTTTGACGAAGTTTATAGACATGGTTGTATGGCTCAGTTGCCTTGAATGCTATGTCTAGTGGGCGACACCAAAAACATATGTGCAATCGATGTAGGTGGACACTAGGCTTTTCACAATGATTCCAGCATCAACAGGGAGAATAGTACCTCCAATTAGCAAACAACAAAACTGCATAATGGGTGAGGAGAGAATGTGGACTCGTGTAATAATAATATAACTATTCAACGCATAAATTCCATTTTTTTGTTCGACATTTTTAGATACCCATTCCCTGAGGATAGTATGCAGATACAAACAAAGCACAACTGAATAAGAGGACTAATTGAATACAGTCGAGAATGGTGAAGGCATAGTTCGGTGGTGGAGAGAATGCTATCCCTCGGGTCTGCATTATTGGTTAGTGGCTAGACACATGCTAATACCTTTCAAATCAGGTAATAAATTTCAAAGGGTTGCATATTGATTTGTGAATTAGACCCACTATTAGTACACAATTACTGGTGGATTGTCTTATCAGTTCATAATTAGCACTTTAGGCTAGCACTCCACCTAATTAGGGAGACCTTTATTGCTTTAGAACTACTTCTATGAATCTATGGTCCCGGTGATACTTCCCTGTTCCCACCCAAAGAGAGAATCTTTGAGCCCATTATAAAAATTCAAAAAGAATTTAATATTTTTTTTCTTAAGACAAAATAACTACCGTTACTTATGAACAGGGTCGGTCGCAAATGGGCAAAGGGTTTACCGAACCTTTGGGATTTATAATCTCCTATATAATTGTGTGATATGCAACAATCACTAAAACTATGATGCCTTTCATGATAGATAAAAAGAGACTGTTGAAAATGAAAGTCTTTAGCAGGGGTGCAACTTGAACGGGTTGGACAGTCAATCTTAATCAAATTTTAGGTATATAATCTTCAATCATAACTCTAACCCTATCTCTACATCGGGGTGAGGGACTCAATGCAAGCACTACCCGAGTTTAATTTGGACGGGATCGGGTTGAATTTGGGTTAATGATTTCGGGCTACTTTACGGTTTTAATTCGGGTTAAATTTGGGTTGAGCCCAAAATAGACTTGTTCTTCTAAAGCTGATACATATATTTGCCTAAATTAACAACAAACAACTTCAATCAAGTTTTTAACATAAAAACCATAATATTAAGAACTTAATGTTTGAGATAATGCAACTACAACCATACAAAACACAAATAAATACAACCAGAATCTTTATACAAACATAGAGTTAACTGCTTAAATAGTGAGTAAGGGAGGCGCACAATGAAGATTTCAGAACAGGTTAACCCTAGACTTAAAAAATGTATTTATATGGTGATGAATATTCAGGTTGAACCCGATTTTAATATTTGGGTTCAACCCGATAACCCGAAGTTCACTCAAATTAAATTCGGGTTGAAATTTTTTGACCTAAACCCAACTCAAGTATTAAAAATTTTAGTACAAACCTTATTTTTTTCGAGTTGGAATCGGGTTAACCCGCCCAAGTTACACCTTGAAGATGGAACCGTGGAAGAAAATATCCTATTTGGTTTGACAAATTATTGAAAAACAAGAATAGTAACTAAGAAACAAACAGGGAGAACAGCTGCTATAAGGATTCTCATTCTATTGGTTTACTAGTTGTGAGATATTCAAATGGAATTGTCTTCAGAGAGCAAAGCGGAAAAGGGAGGTTGTGATGCTGAAGCAGAATACAAAGAATAAAAGAAGACAGACTGAAGGATAAGGTCCTTATGTTGATGGCCTCAGACTTAGCTTTTGCGTATGTTTGGCTGTTAAACTCAGTTTGACAACTGCTTTAGAAGGCAAAAGAAATTCCTTTTTTGCAAAGTTGATATTACCGGAAAAGCAATCGGATTGTACCACGTCACCCCAAGGAGTGCATGGTGACTCGGAAAATTTGGACTAAACATCTTTTGGGCTTTTGTGGAAAGCAACTGCCTCCACTTTGGTTAATGAATGCGTGTAAAGAGCACAAAATAATTCCAAAATTTGAACCATATTAGGTTCTCAAAGTTTTCCTGTCCAAGTTGTAGCTCATCCCCATAGAGTTGGAGAAGACCCTGTCCTCTTTTTTAAATCAAAAACAAGAGCAAATACATTGTTCAAAGTAAATCAATTATAACCAGGGGCATGAGGATCTAAAAAGAACTACAGCAAAGGGTCTAATAGGAATCTCGGTTTGAATTTACACATGGTGTTTAATAATGAACAGTTATATAACCTAAGTTCAACTATATCTTTCTTGGCCAAGACTTCGGACAGCTTTGCATACTTTCTCAAAGAAACTTATCTCCTGATGAACGTGGAGGCTGCATAGCAGCATAGGCGATTTGAATAAGTCTCTGAAAGGAGCCAGCTGTATATACACAAGCTTAATATGTAAATGACTTCAAACTATGATTTGATTCCCTTCTTGCTAGAATCTTGTCACTATTAACTAACTCAAGTCTTCATCCCCATATTCGCACATAGGCAAGGGTGCAAGTGGATAGCAACATCCAACTTCACAAATAAAATTTGTCACTACAATTCCTTTAGAAGTGAGCTTACATCTGTTTAACAGAGTCATCGGAGTTGTCGTGATTGCAGTTGAAGATTTGGATTGTGAGGTCCAAACCAAGGTCCATGAAGAGTGCCTTCGTGCAGATTTTGTACCTGCAGTTTTAGTTCATTTGGAGAAGTCCCATGAGGAGGGGCAATCATCAAGATGCTGTTTGGCAGGTTCAAAGCCACTGGTGGTCCTTGACTGGTCAGGTTCCAGTCATATTTTGCTTTGGCCATGCCATTCATATTTGAGTCCTGCGGCTGCACAACCATGTTAGAGTTATTTGCTGAAGGAGGTTTATTATGGTCTGGTGAAGGAACTTTACTGTTTGAGAGATTGATGGTTGTGATATCATGGATGCTTGACCTTCTTTTATCCTTCCCCCCAGAAAGCTGCCTGATAAAGTATTTCTGAGCATGACTAGCAACCTGAGTTGGTGTCCTAGTGGTCACAAAATCGTGAGAGATACTTCTCCAGTCCCCTTTACCATACTTCTGTAGTCCCATCAGAAATTGCCTGAGGTTTAGTCATCAATGCACCACGTCACAAATAGCAGAAAGAAACTAAAATATCAAAAATAAATAATTCACCAGAAGCTAACTTTAGTATCTAATATCAAGACATTTCTGAAGGAAAATACATAGTTTTACTACCCAAGACATTGTAAAACTTCGTATGAATTCGATGGACCCATATGAAACCTTTTTTCCCAAAATTGTGACCACTTCATATTTGTGTGCTTAGATACATGCATTACTATATTGATTGTTGTATCTATCAAGAAGAAAACCACTTGAATGTATTGTAGGGTCTACTTCAAGGAAGATTTCATCTAACTAGATAAAAAAAACTTGCTTTTAAAGCCATGTGAAAGTAGACAATAATAGTTTAAACATCTTAGCAGGATATATTTATGCATCTACATCACCTGTGCTCTTCCTCTGTCCATGGCACACCTTTTTTCCTTTCTTGATCAGCAGTCCTAGTTGATGAACTCCTTTTTCCGCCTGGGCCATAAATTTGTTTCAACCCATCAAAACCTTGATGGTTCACCCACTCCAAGTTGAAAGAACTACTAAGGTACCCTGGAATTGGTATCAGCCCTGCCTCTATATCACTAACATCCTCTTCCAATTCCTTGTATTGTTTGATCACATCATTCACAGTTTTGCCCGGAATCATGGCTGCCACATTACACCAACGATCTGGAGTATCCTTATCGAATAACGCCAGTGCAGTCTCAAACTGCTTGTTCTCTTCCAGTGTCCATTTCGACCCCTTGGTTTCCTCAAACATCCAATTCGAGTTTTGTAGATATGATGCTGGACATAGAAGTTCCATTCCTTGATCGATTCTGTCTAAATAGTTACAATATAAATTGTTGGACATAGCTAGAAGGTCAAAGAGTTCATAATTCAGTCTCTCTCTCTAGGAGGAAAGAAGAGAAACTCAAAAGGAAATGCAGAGAAGTGGATGTTTCTATGATCAAACAGGCATTAAAGCAAGTAGCATTGGGAAGGAATCTAGATGCCTTTTGACATAAGCATGAGATGACGAATCTAGTAAAGACCCCCACTTTCTAAAACCCAAGTAAAATTAAAAAACTACACAAAAAGTAGTAGATTTTTCAAGTGAATGGTAGATTTAGAATACTATGTCAGATCTAACGGCACACAAGAACATCACGAAATAATAAAAACCAAGAAACTCACAAATTAAGATTCTGTGAATCTTGGATAGTAAAGCTATGCGGTGATGAAGTGAATTGCAATATGATTCAGAAAGTTTTATACTCCACTGAGAAAAGGGGGAAAGAGAGAGGTTCTCAGGAATTGAAGAAGTAAAAGTTGGATAATTTTGTGCAAGTAATTCTTAGAGGCTGAAGAAGAAATAAAAGTCAACAAATTTTCATAGGGAATATAAAGAAAACATGCGAGGAGTGAATCCAAAACTGTCAGGAGTTTGTACTTGTTTGTAAGAGGGAGAGATCTACAGGGTGGAAACATAGCAATAGTAGAGATGCATCATAGGTCTTGTGGAATGATTGGCTTAGATGGTGTTTTGTGGGGACTACTTCGACAGAAAAGTTGTGTCACTGTGAGAGAGAGAGAGGGTGAGAGAGTAGTTGTTTTGACACAGCTACGTCTGTGAGCTTCTGAGTAATAGCTGTCTGCTATATTGCTGAAACATGCATCCATTATCTCTCTTATGGGTGGTCTTTTCCACACTCCATTGTCAATGCTCTGACTGTTTTTTTCGGAGAAGTGAAGTCGCATTAGTGAACATACAGTGGAAAGCTTGAGCTATCATATGATGGATTGAAAGTAGTTCAACCGTCAAGTCATATTAATCTTCTCTAAACTCTGTCCAATCTCACCTTGTCGTATTAATAATTTTTCGGTGATATATTTTTTATACTATATGTTTTTACTCTCACAAATGTAAAAATTTGATCTTTTTTCTTTCTGTTTCAATTTGTTTAGACTCATCAATTATAATTATACTTAGGAATGACAATGGACCAGAGGAAAATGAGTATTCATTCAAACTCACACGTTTTGAACCGGAGATGGACCATATGTATTAGACAACAAACGTATACAAAGATACTCATATAAATCTGTGCGAAAATGGACCAAAACTCATTCTCGTCCTGCTACACCCGTAATATATATATATTTTGTGAGTTTTTATGTTTAATCCATTTGTTATATAATGAGTTTCATCCTTCTTGCAAATCCATTTTGGGAAGTTTTATGATTTTTTTTTAATTTTTTTTTTTAAATCATAGAAATTAATTGTTATGGGCAGAAATAAAGATTAAAATTTACTTGCGGGGCGAGGACGAGGGTTAAAATTTTTGCCGCTAACTGGTGTGAACCAGGGATAGACGAATATTTTTGAAACAAGTACGGGAGTGGAGACTACTTCCCTCGCCCCTCCTCCGGTCAACTGTCATCCCTAATTATATGTGCATACTATAGAAAGTACTGATTTCGACCAAATCGAGGAACAAAATTATGCCTTAAACAAAGGGATAGCATATCAATCTCAAAGATTAGATCATGGCACAAATAAAGAGTAGATCAAGCAGTAAGTCATATGACAGCAGATCAATCATTATCTCCCTAAATTTCTCTGAATTTTATATTCTTTCCATTCTTGTCTTAAGAAACTGTTTGTTTGAATTTCAAATAGTTTTCTTTCTATATTATGTCCATTGTATTCCTTATATAAAGAGAAAAGATATCTTTCTCTAGTGGTAAGAAAAACAATAATATTCAAAAATTCCGTATGGTATCAGAACCTTACATGACTTGAGTTGTATGAAAAATTGCCTTCAACCTTTTCTTCTCTATCATGACCAATACAAAATACCCATATCTTGCAACTTTGAAAGTAGGAAATTTTGTCTCCATTAAACTCAGCAGTACCAATTATCTATTGTGGAGAACCCAAATGCTTGGACTAACTGAAAGCCAAGATCTTGCTGGGTTTATCAATGGTCAATTAATGGAACACTTTGCATGATGCTTATGCACAAGATTCTCAAGAACGAGAATTTCATCTTACACAAAAATTACAAATGTCAAGGAAAGGTACGTCCACTTTATCCGAATACACTTGTGATGATCTAGCTGCCATAGGGAAGTCCATTGATGATAAGAAGAAAGTATTTTGGTTGCTTAGTGGGTTGGGGATTGAATATAAATCTTTTGTGACAACTATGCTCAAACCCCCAACACCTTGCTATAAAGAAATTATTCACCTGCTTCAAAGTCATGAGACATGGTTATCAATGCATGAGGCAATCAAATTGTTGCTTTTGTTGATGAAAGAGGGCATAGATCTTCAAATAAAGCTCGTTATAATAATTTTTCTTCATGTGGCAGAGAAATAACTCTGAATCATCCGATAAAAATCATGGTAGAAAATCTGGCAAAGACAACAATAAATTCTTTAACTCTGGCTCCATTCCAAAATGCCAAATATGTAACAAAAATGGTCATATTGCATTGAAGTGTTGTCATAGATTTAATCAATCTTTTGTCTCAGATGATGTCCCACAAGCACTTGCTGCATTGACAATCAGCGACAGTCAAGATCATGCATGGTACCCGGATACAGGAGCGCCAACTCACGTGACTGGGGATCCAAGTAAATTGTTTAATTTAAAAGAGTATAAGGGTTATGATGCTGTGATGGGTGGTAATGGTCAACTGCTCAAGATTTCTCGTATTGGGGATGCTTTTATTGATACTGGACATAGACAAATGGTTATTAAAAATGTACTTTTAGTACCAGACTTAAAAAAAAACCTTTTCTTAGTAAGCCAATTTATAAGTGATAATCGTTGTAATTTTGAATTCTTCAATGGTGGTTTTGTTATAAAGGACAGGAGCAACAAAAGCATCATGATGGAGGGCAGTAAAAGTGGAAATCTCTATGCTCTTGAAAAGGTGCATCCAACAGCTCTTTTCTCAAATCGAAATCAAGATGTAAGTGAGAAGGTTTGGCATTGGAGGCTTGGGCATCCTCTGTGATCAGATTTTTGAATAATAACGACTTCATTAGTGTCCATAATTGGGATAATAAGTTCATTTGAACAGTTGTCAAATTGGAAAATCTTGTAGATTGCCATTTTTGTCGTCACAAATATTCTCTATTATACATTCAGATTTATAGGATCCAGATTCGGTTAAATCCCATGACGGTTATCACTATTATGTTATTTTTATCGATGAATGCACACGTTTTACTTGGCTATACCCTCTTAAATAGAAATCAAATTTCTTCCAATGCTTTCTTATCTTTCTAGCAATGGTGGAATGACAATTTGGTACAAAAATAATGATTTTTCAATCCGATGGTGGAGGTGAGTACTTAGATGGGGCTTTCGGAAGCTATCTCATTAAATATGGAATAATTCATCATTTGTCTTGTCCAAAGACTCTAGAATAGAATGGTCTTGCTGAACGTGAGCACCGCAATATTACTGAACTTGGACTCACTATGATGGCACATTCTCATGTTCCTAAGAAATATTGGATTGATGCTTTCTATACCACTATTTTTCTCATTAATCGAATGCCTTCATCGGTTCTTTATATGGACTCCCCTTTTCAGAGATTGTTTGGTAAAAATCCTGACTATACCTCTTTTCGAGTTATTGGAAGCAAATGCTTTCCTTATCTGTGGTTATGCTTCAAAAAAATTTGCATCCAAGTCTTTGCCATGTTTATTTTTGGGTTACAGCATGAAGCATAAAGGATATTGGTCCTTATGCCCCACATCAAGTCGGATATATATTTCTCGTCATGTTGTCTTTGATGAGCACATTTTTCCTTATTCTAACCCACATTTGATCCAAACAAAACAGGAAAATCAGGCCATATTTTCTTGGGATAAAGGTCACTCGTCTGGATGATGACCTTCATTTATCTCAAACAAAGTATGCAATGGAACTTCTTGAACATGCAAATATGACAAATTGTAACTCTATCCCTACACCGATGGTGCAAAAAAGGTCACATGGATCCTCTGCTCCACCATTTTTAGACCTAACTCACTATTGTAGTTTAGTTGGTGGGTTACAATATTTAACCATGACACGACCTGATATATCATTTAGTGTGAATCATGTCTCACATATATGGCATATCTTACTGAGGAGAACTATCATGTTGTGAAACGTATTCTCAGATACATTAATGGCACTTTGGACCATGTCCTCCATCTTCATCACTCTGGATCATTTGAACTTTATGCCTCTTCGGATGCTGATTGGGATGGTTGTCCAATGACACGTCACCTTACATAAGGATTTTGCACATTCTTAGGTCCTAATTGTCTCTCGTGGAGTGCTAAGAAGCAACCATCTGTTGCCAAGTCTAGTACTGAAGCTGAATAAAAATCTATGGCTTCCACTGTAGCTGAAATTACTTGGATCACTTTCATCTTACGAGACATTAGTGTTTCCTTACTTAAACCTCCTACTTTATTCTGTGACAATCTAAGTGCATTGTTTCTCATAGTCAATCTAGTCTTTCATGCACGATCTAAGTACATTGAGGTGGACTACCATTATGTAAGGGAAAAAGTTATCGGCGGCTCTCTTATCACAAAGTTTGTGACATCATCTCACCAACTCTCAGATGTATTCACTAAAGCACTTTCACGAGAGCCCTTTGAGTTGATATGTACCAAACTTGGCCTCCTACCTCGTCCTCGTTTGAGGGGAAGTATAGAAAGTAATGATTCCGACCAAATCAAGGAACAAAATCACGCCTTAAACAAAGGAATAGCATATCATTCTCAAGGATTAGATCATGACACAAATAAAGATCAGATCAAGCAGCAAGTCATGTGACAGCATATCAGCTATTATCTTCTTAAATTTATCTGGATTTTATATTCTTTCTATTCTTGTCTTAAGAAACTATTTGTTTGAATTTTAAATGGTTTTCTTCCGTATATTATGTCTATTGTATTCCTTATATAAAGAGAAGAGATTTCCTTCTCTAGTGGTAAGAAAAACAATAATATTCATAAATTCCATTCATACCACCTTAATGTTTTTTAAGTCAAATATATGTGAATTTTGTCCTTTTTTTTCACTGGTATGCAACTGAATTGGCCCATGTACTATTGAATAGGGCAGATGCAGATGCTGTTCTTACTAAAATATCATGGTGGTCCTAAGACAGCTATAATGCCTGAAACACCTATTTTGCCCATGATTTTTGTCCATTAAATGGGTTTTGCATATCAATGCTAAAAAAAAAAGTTATTCTATATTGTACTATGAGCTTACTCATGTCGGTGTACATAGTGTATCAAATGGAGCTCAGGGTCAAAATTACGTGTTGTAAATTGTAGATTATTGTGGAAGTAATTGTCACCAAGTCTTTTTTTTATTCAGTTGTTCTTCAATTTATTCTAATTTTAAAATAATTAAGTGGAAAAAATAGAAGGGTTGCTTTGGATTATGGAAACACTTATTGTTAAAGAAATGAATAGTTCAGGACATATGTACAATTGTTGATAATTTTTTTTTAACAAAGAAAGGAGGAGGAGCGACTAGTAGATAATAACTCTCATGAGTATGATCATGATGATCCCCCATTATAAAATACCCGGTTTGGGCTATAACTACTAATCTGAAAGGACCACCCGTTATCACAGCACTACCAAAATTAAGTAATAAATCGTATTATTAATGTGGATCGAACTATGTTTGATAATTACATAGAAATCAAGAATAATTTTAAATGGGTATGACTTTTCAGTAGACTCTGTTGGTCAATTGTAGACATTAGCTATTAAAAAACAGAATAGTTAGGTCCGCTTGCAATATGTTGAAGTGTTTGATTGTTACTTTTTTATCTTTATCTGGGGGAAACTTTAAAAAGAAAAAGCATTTCCACCTCTTTTTTTGGTTTTGAAGCATTATTTTAATTCCTAGAAAACTTTGCTCAAGAGTTTTGTTACTTCTTTTAATACAAAAGGAATTTGATAGACTTAAAAAATAATAGAAAGTCGAACTCAATGAAAAAATCAGAGAGCTTCCCATTCTGAAAATCAAAGAAGATAAAATGCCAAAAAACCTTTAGGGGAAGAGGCATTTGATACTTTTGCCCTCCTCCCCTCCCCTCCCCTCTTCTGGTCATTACGGAAGAACTCGAACAAGAGTTTAAAAGTATTCTTCTTTTTGTTGGTTCATAGTTCAGACAAAGTTTTGGTCTTGCTATTTTATGTTTCAGAGTCAATTGATCTCTCCATAAATAACTTGAATTTTAGTCTCAAAATAGGCTAGAAAAAACAGTTTATTTATATAAAAATATATTTTTTGTATTGAGCAACAATAAATCATCATTTCTTAAAAAGTAAGCAAAGGAAGGAAAAAAAATATTAATTTCTAAGTTGACTTTCTGTATGAAGTATCCATTAGTGGTGCTGGAAATGAAAGTCAACAATAGTAAATGAAGTGAGAGAGTTTCCATAAGAGGAAAGATTCTTCTTTGCCATCTTTCCGAAAATTGCAGATAGTTTTGGGTGCATGAGCTCACGTGCTACAACTTGCAATGGATTAAATTACAGGCAGGGCTCTTGCTCTTAATCAAATCCAGCTAGTCGAGTTTAATTTGAGTTTGACTTCTTTAAATTGTGTTTATTTTTTAAATGAGTTAAACTTGAATAACTTTTTAAATTCGTTTAAAAAATAAGTCTGACAAGCTCGACTTTAAATTAATAGACTCGACTTGTTTTTGTATAAATTTTCAAGAGTGACTCGTTTTGGGTTTGTTCAAACTTAAAATTCATTCAAACTAGATTAAGAAAATAAGTTTTTTTAGGTTTGGCTCGAACTCATTTGACTATCGACCCTAATTACAGGAGAAACTTCACCAATCTACCCAAAACCAGGGCGTGCTTCGAAGAAAGACAGTCAATTTGTAAGAGCAATTTTAGAAGTTTAGAGTTAAGGACCAGTCATATAATAAAAAATTATAAAACACAATAATTAAATCAGGAATATATGACATTGATAAAATACCATGCTTCAAAAGTTCAAAATATAAAAAGATAAAAAAAAATGTCAAAAGAAAGACAAAAAAAAACATGAAAATTATAAAACACAATAATTAAATCAGGAATATATGACATTGATAAAATACCATGCTTCAAAAGTTCAAAATATAAAAAGATAAAAAAAAATGTCAAAAGAAAGACAAAAAAAAACATGAAAATTATAAAACACAATAATTAAATCAGGAATATATGACATTGATAAAATACCATGCTTCAAAAGTTCAAAATATAAAAAGATAAAAAAAAATGTCAAAAGAAAGACAAAAAAAAACATGAAAATTATAAAACACAATAATTAAATCAGGAATATATGACATTGATAAAATACCATGCTTCAAAAGTTCAAAATATAAAAAGATAAAAAAAAATGTCAAAAGAAGAAAGACAAAAAAAAACACGAGAAGACATTCTAGACCAAAAAAAAGCATAAGACCTAAGATCCCATCCCACATCGAATGCTCATGAGAAAACAAAGTATCATGTGGTGTATAAAAAGTGTGCTTTGCCCTCAATAATTTTAGCCTACGTGGAGCATTGCACTTCGCATACTTGAAAGCAGACAGTACAGCCTTTACAGTTTAGTGTGGAGGCCTTACGAAAAGTGGCTGTCTTGTCCAAAGATAAGTTAAAACATTAGAATAAACCGCTATTAATGGTTTTTAACTGTTCTTTTATACAACCGATCTAATATTTGACTAGGAACGGCATGGGGTCAGGTTCACTAGTGTACCAGTTAGACGGTCCGGTTTGGTCTTGATAGCATTGGTGAAAATATATTTGGTCAATTGTTTAATTTTTTTGTAATTTTATTTCGATAGATAGTATAATTGTATATTAATTATAATTATTTTTAATAAAATTAGATTTTTATTTTTATTTTTATTTTAATAAATGATATAATATAACATAAATTTTAGTTGTAAAATTCATGTTCTATTATGAATGATTTTGATTTTTAATTTTTATTCCAATAAATAATATAATTGTATACTAATATTACGATTTTTTAAGAAAAAATTAGTTTTTTATTTTTGATTTTGTTTGAATAAATGATAAAATAGAATATGAATTTTGTTTGTAAAATTTAAAATATTTGATATTTTATTTTTTATTGAAATATTTTTATTTTAAATATAACATTTTAAACTTGAAATGTTTAAGTATTATACGCCTATAAATTTTAGGGGGTATAGGTGTAATTTATTAATAAATTTATTAATGGACATTTGACGACAGGAGTTTAAGTGTTACACAAATTTCAAGGAATTTATGTGTAATATTTTAAATATCAAGGGGTCTCAGTAATTAAGTGATAAATTTTAAGAAATTTGAATGTAATTCTCCCAAAATAATATGTAAAAAATGTCATGTGATTTTTTTAAAAAATATTATCTATTAAATAGGTTATTCTTATATAATACTAATCTGACCCATGAATTATTCGTTTTAATTGATCTGGTCATTTTTGAGTTCGTGTTCTGTCGTGTTTTTTATTGTGTAAATTGACATCCTTAATATTCCCTACATTCTTAAATATCTTTCTTTTAAAGTTTTTACACATGAATTAAAGAAGCTATTAAATAGCTCTAATATGAGTAAAAAATAATTACACATGATTAAAATATTCTTATTCAATACGTATTGAAAAAAAAAAAATATGAAAGGTACTTAGCCTCCACCTAGTATTATACATTGAAAAGTTAAGGATAAATTTAGAAAAAAAAAATTTTAATTAAACTTTGGTTTCATTAAACGACAGATATTTAGGAACAGATGGAATATTTTAGAGCAATGCTATTAGACTTAAAAAGTAGACTTAAAAACTAAAGTTGATAATTTCAAGCATTAATCTCACTGTAAGTCCCAGCATTTATTAAGACTTGCAACCTATTCAATGGTTAAGATAATCAAGTCTAATTTTTAAGTCCATTTAGAAATATTCTGTATTTTAACACCCAACCCTGAATTCCTGAATTCCAATTCCAAGTAACTACACTCTGTTTCGGCTCTTCTTTGTCTTATTGCCCTATCATAAAACTAGTAGGTACTGTTACCTCTTTAAATTTCATACTGATCTGTCAATGCATATGTCGCATAATCAGCAGATTGATTAAACTTTACAACAAAACATGTAAAGATGCTTTGAAATCTCTATAAAAATCACAAAATTTTACATAAACAATTTCAATACGTGTAGTCCATAAAAAGATGTAAATTTGCTTCAAAAAATGAAGATTTATGGCATAATTATTGTAACTTGCTTGAGCAGTTTTATCAAAAAAAAAAAAGACCCTGTTTCCAACTCTTTTTATCACTCTTTCTTTTCTTCCTCTTCCCATCCCTTCCTTTCTTTTGATCTTGTATCCATGGTGTTAACATTTAGGAAGATCACTTGGAGGTGGCAAAAGAGACTCGTTAGGTCCCTTNGGAAAAAAAAAATATGAAAGGTACTTAGCCTCCACCTAGTATTATACATTGAAAAGTTAAGGGTAAATTTAGAAAAAAAAAATATTAATTAAACTTTGGTTTCATTAAACGACAGATATTTAGGAACAGATGGAATATTTTAGAGCAATGCTATTAGACTTAAAAAGTAGACTTAAAAACTAAAGTTGATAATTTCAAGCATTAATCTCACTGTAAGTCCCAGCATTTATTAAGACTTGCAACCTATTCAATGGTTAAGATAATCAAGTCTAATTTTTAAGTCCATTTAGAAATATTCTGTATTTTAACACCCAACCCTGAATTCCTGAATTCCAATTCCAAGTAACTACACTCTGTTTCGGCTCTTCTTTGTCTTATTGCCCTATCATAAAACTAGTAGGTACTGTTACCTCTTTAAATTTCATACTGATCTGTCAATGCATATGTCGCATAATCAGCAGATTGATTAAACTTTACAACAAAACATGTAAAGATGCTTTCAAATCTCTATAAAAATCACAAAATTTTACATAAACAATTTCAATACATGTAGTCCATAAAAAGATGTAAATTTGCTTCAAAAAATGAAGATTTATGGCATAATTATTGTAACTTGCTTGAGCAGTTTTATCAAAAAAAAAAAAGACCCTGTTTCCAACTCTTTTTATCACTCTTTCTTTTCTTCCTCTTCCCATCCCTTCCTTTCTTTTGATCTTGTATCCATGGTGTTAACATTTAGGAAGATCACTTGGAGGTGGCAAAAGAGACTCGTTAGGTCCCTTGCCATTGTCAACCAGGAATGCCATTTTCAGTCCCCATGTTGTGTGCACTTCCAAATGACAGTGCATGAACCAAACACCTGCAAGTGAAGAAGATCAGATCCATATAGCAACCTGCAATTAGAAAGTATAGAAAGAGTATTCGTGTGTAGATTTACAAAACCCATCTTTCTGTATTTGGGATAAGGCTGCATACGTGCTGACGAACAAAAGAAAGTTTTAACTAATATAAGTGGATCAATTTACCTGGATTATCTGCCCGAAATCTAATAGCAACCCATCCACCAGAGGGTACTCCAATTGTGTTCCTTTCAACAGGATCAACAAGATTAAACTTTTTAGGATCTTTCTTTGGATTGTAATTTCCTACTCCCCGGCCTACCCCGAAGAAGTTGAATCCATGTAGATGGATTGGATGGTTTTCTGGGGCTATCATACCTGTGTCTTGCAGAACCAATTGAACTGTGGAGTTGTAAGATAGTCGATATACCTTCGTCCCAGTCGTAGTTTGCATGTTTGTTGGTTGAGTACCAGTATAATTGAAAGCAAACGGAGGGTTACTGGGAAAATCAGTGGTGAAAACTCCTTTCTTATTGAAGTAATGTGCTTGAAGGAGAGCTGTTTTTGGCATGATGAAGGTGACATTGTTGATACCGGCCACGACCCGACTACCATTAGTAGCTTTGCAAGTTGGGCATGGATTAACCCCCAATCCAACAGTGAAGAAAAGGGAGTGATCAATCTTTAATGGGACTTTAGCAGGGTATTTCTTCGAATTTAGGCTTAGAAGAGAATTTGTAAACTTGTTAGCAACAGGTGTGGCATTTTTGGGAGGTGGGCTTGTGAGGGTGGTGGGGGATGTAGCAAGTGTACCGGTGTAGTGAACGGTGGCGGTTGCAGTCATGTTATCGACGGCTATAGGGGAGTCCATGAACGGAGAGGCGGCGACCATGTATTTGCCGGAGCTTTGGTCAGTAGTTAGAATGACATTCGTGGTTTGGCCTGGGGCAATCAGAATTGTATCGGTTTTGAAAGGTTTCACATAAGTAGCATCAACTTCTACTATTGTGAGCTTATGCCCAGCAATCTTGAAGAATAGTTCTTCATTGAGTGCAGCATTGATCACTCGCAGCATGTAGGTTTTGCCAGGATCAACGCTCAACGTGAACCCGCCTGTATGACACGATAAGATTTAAATCTCATCATAAGTAGGACGAAATAAGGTGTCTAATCATGTTAGTATTGAAAAAAAAAAAAAAGAAGATGAAGAAGAAGAAAGAAAAAAAAACCTTGAGAAGAACATTTTGAGAGCGGTCCAGGATGACCATTGATGGTGTGGGCGTCGGAGACATTTGGCGCCCCACCCGATTTCAGAGCTTCATTGATCACGGCTTCAGTATCTGATTTCCACCATTCACCTACAATTCAAATTTCTAAGTTAATCGATGATAGGGTTAATATATGACTCGATCAATGGACCTTTGTTCTAATAATGCTCCTTATTTGATGAAAATTTTACCTTCTTGATGTCAATGGTTCAAGTCCCTTTCTCTCCCCTCCTCCCAAACTATATATATGACTAGACATTTTGTGATGAGTCTCATTATCTGACAAAAGAGGGGCTAAGATTCTAAGAAAGAAATGTCAACATTTGACTAATTCCACCAATAAACGAGTATAGTCTAAGTATCTCTCTCTTTCTCTGTAAATACAGATGAAACTCCGGAGATAAAGAGGCTTTGGTATAAGAACTCTCAGCTCCAAACTTCACACACACGTTCTTATTATTTTCCTACTTTTATATGCTTGCCTGCTCAACTGATTTAGGCATTGAAGGGACTTCCCCCGGCTCAACATCGGGGGTCCCTTTAACCTCATGTTAGTTTTGCAGTTTGTGGACTTGATGATATTTGAAGATCAGGGATGCACCTCAACACATTTAAGTGATTTTGCAAATTTTTTGTCCGTACAATATACTTTTAGTTTTAATTAACAAAGTTTTTTCGTGTAAATAATTCTAAAAAGCTAGTGAAGTTTAAGAAGGGGTTAAAATTGCTCACCTAGTACGACAACTACTTCCTTATGGGGTTTGGGAAATGGATATGGCACCCCACGCTTAGGCAAGATAACCAAGCCACCATGAACAGTGGACCTTAGCCATAGAATATGTGCATGCCAGAGAAGAGTGCCTCGTTGGCCAGTGATGGTGAAGTTGTAGACGTAGCTCTGCCCAGGCTGGATCGGGCACTGTGTAATATATGCCGGCCCATCTGCCCAACCCGTCCGGAGTTGCCTGATTCCATGCCTATCACCCAATAAGAAAAAAGGATTACTAAAAATATCTTCATCACTAGCTGAAACTTTGGGTTCATGGATCTTATACTATTACATGTTTGACTTACGAAAATAGTTTTTTTGCTCATGCGGTAAAAAGATGTTTATCTAAGAAATATTATTAGAATCTAAAAAATTGATTTAATTTGCTAATGTAATGATGTAATAACGATGTGCTACTCTTGGATTTCTTCATAGAAATTTATCACTTGACACATCATTATACTAGCAAATTAAATCAATTTTTAGGTCTCCATAACATTAAGCATATCAAATCTGCCATGATGATGGCTTGAGACTTGCTCAGTTTTGCCAGAGTAAAGCTATTGAGATGTTAAAAAAATTATCTAATTTACTGACCTAATGATGTAACAGTGATATAGTTCAATAGTGTTGTTCTAATTGTAACTCTTGAATTTTTTTACTAGGACTCTATTACTTGATGCATCATTATATTAGTAAATTAGGTCAATTTTTTATGTCTCAATAACATTACTCTTTTTGCTAATCGTAGAACATGATTTGTGATTCAAGTGTTGAAATAACCATATTGTCCCCTGTGGTATGTCCATGGCAAGCTTGTTTTCTGGGGAAATAATTGTGGCTCCTAAGGAGAATAAAGGAATTTGGATATATATTTCTTACCAGTGTATAGAGACGTTGTACTTGACATGGTTGACGACCTTGACGAGGACATTATCACCCTCCCTAGCGTAGAGAGTGGGTCCTGGGAAACGTCCATTGACAGTGACAATGGGTTTCGTTGAACACAATCTGGTGGTGTTCCTCATCACTACCTGCTCAAGTTACATCAAAGTTTAGACCAACAAACTCAGCTAACTCAACTGTTCGTTACAAGTTAGATGGAACTTCTTCAAAACACTACTGTTCAGGTAGTTGGGAAACAAGATGATTCAATTGAGGAAAACGGTAAAAGTTTCACTCAAATAATAGTGGGCTTGAAATGAGAATCAGTTTCGAGATAAGACTATTTANTTGATGATTGTCACGAATATTACCAAATTATGATTCAATTCAATTTGTAAAAGTACCCTTAAAAATCAGTCAAAAAAAAGAAAATGATGGTGAAAAGCCATTTTGCTTTTTGACGATTGCATTAGAAGAGTGATTGGCTTGGCTTCTATTATTTTCAGATAGGTAATGATGGGTAGGGTTGAACCTTGAGGATTACAACGAGTACTATGAGGTTAACAGATGCTCACCCGACATACTAATTGTGGTTGAAAAATTGCTTTCATTTTTGTTTATCAGATGCTAAACCCAACTATATGCTATATAGATATGGTAGTTTGAAACCTACGATAAAACCAACGGTGGGTACGTAAGTAACCACTCTCTCTCTCTCTCTCTCTCTCTCTCTGGTTCATCTAGACTATGGTCATGAGTTTTCAAGAAGTTTGGTTGATGGTTCCTCCAAATATTTGTGACAGCTGCTCCTCAATGCAGAAAGGTGGATCGATCAAAGTCAAAATCTCAGTAACCTGGTTAGACTAAAAGTTTTAACTATAACCCTACGAAGTAATTTAAGTGGTAACAAAAACGAAATATAAATTTAGACATTTTAAATTCAAATTTTGACAATTTCTTAACGTCTACCTAAAAAGGATTTATCCCTTATAAGTACTTTAATCCCAATATGAATTATCAACTTTTGATTAGATCAAGAAATAAATTAGTCAAAATATATGTAATTTGACCTGAACACTTCCCGATCGTTAAACACAAAAAAAAAAATAAAAGTTTTTACTATTGCGCGCGTATGCATTGATTGCAGGTGGAAGAAGTGTAAAATTAGGGGCAAGGGCGGAGCTAGGATTTCATTATAAGGGGGTTAAATAATTGTATTACTCTTAATTTTTATTCAATGTGTGTTATTATTTATTTATTGTTATCATCAAATTTTTAAATATATCCATTTTCAAATTTTTAGATATATAGAATTTATTAAAATTAATTTCAAACCATACATTGTAAATTTGTAATGTATCCATTTTTAAACAAAAATATCGATAAAACCTATACGAATTATATTTTTTACTGTTAAATAGCGATACTGATTTTAATTTACATATAGACTATTGATTCGATTACGTTGCATTGTCCAAAATAATTCAAAATTCATCAATTTGTGCAGAACCAAAATTTAACGATTTGTCCAAAATATCAAATAGTTAATGGTAAAATGTGATCAAATCAAATAATTGATGGTAAAATANCTATTAACCCTCAATCAAATGAAAACGTAGCACACAAAGTTTTCATTAAAAATACTTAAAATTGAGTATTATGTAAATAATTATATACAAAAAAATATGATAATGGTTCTATTTCAGGGGAAAGGAGGCTGAAAACTTCAGTTTTTGTTAGAATCAATGGAAAAGAAGTCGGGTCCATTTGGATCCAGGCTTATTGGATAACTTTTCTATCAGTTTATTGGGGGCAAATTAGCTTCTATAAGCACTAATGAAAAATTAATAAATCAGGCTTATTAAAAGAAAATTTGACTTTTTTGAGAACACTCTAAACTGTTCTCAGAGTTTTTTTTAACTCTGACTCTTTCACATTATTTTCTAAATCTCTGTTTCGCACCCAAAAAAATCAACTGTAAACATGTCTAATATAACAAATACAATAAAAAATTTCATCGAAAAAGGAAATGAACATTTTCACTTTTGGACTATATTACTTCAATTTCATCTGATTTTGAACGTGGGATATGAGAATTTTAATCTTTTAGGATATAAATTGAAAATTTAAATATCTTCTAGGTTGCAAAGTGTCATCCACCCTAAATTGTTTATCCTATTTGCAGTTCATATGGTATTTGCGAAACCTACCTATAAGTCCCTATTACAACCTACCAAAACAATGTATTTAACAAAAGAAATTCAAATGCATTTAGTTTTTTTATGTTAAGGCTGTTATCAGTGAGTTTGGTAGAAATTAGTCAACTAGATCACTACACGAGACCGCAAAATTTGTGCATTGTGCCTCTGTTCTAGAATCATAATTCAGTGGAAGGGTTTGTAGGGTGAAATTTAATTCAATTACTATGTTGTGTTATGAGTAAATTTAGCTGGTCTGTGTTCTGGGTTATGCCTCAACACTGGACTTCTGTATGAACCTAATGTTACTGGGATAGCGGGTCGATTTGGTATGTGGTAAAAATACGGATATAGTACAATATATTTTTCAATAGAGGGTGTGATGGGGATAGGTTTATTTGGTATTAGACACAATTTGGTGTCTGAAATTTAAATTATATGGATCCCCAATTCGTGAGACGTTAGGGATATTTAGGATCCCTATATCTATATGTACGGACACCTGCGCATCCAACAACCAGGCTGGTAGGCCATGGGCTTTACTTGCCTACCAACCTTAACGATGGCTTAGAAATTTAATGTAAACAGTCAAATGAAAGTTTAAGAATAATAACAAATTTNACCCCTGAGTTGGGGTTTCAATGCTCGCCACAATACTAAATTTTTGACACGAACCTTAAAATAACATGATCGGCTAACACAAATCGGTCAATTTGTGTAAAACATGAACGTTCCAAGTTTGACACTATGAACTCATTGAACTAGTATTGTATGACAAAATGACTTGAAAAAATGAAAGAACAGAAGATCGAAAACAGTAGAGGTTGAAATGTCGTAGGAGAGAGAAGACTTGGAGCGTTGAGCAATAAAGGCATACGAAATATTCTTACTTTCTCTATGGGGTAGAAGGTCGTACAAGTTGTTTTGTGAACAACTGCATAACTTGAACCTGAAGCCAAAGAAGCAATTTGTCGTTCTACTAATCTAAAGACATAACTNGGAAATATTCCTACTTTCTCTATGGGGTAGAAGGTCGTACAAGTTGTTAGTACGTTGATTGTGAACAACTGCATAACTTGAACCTGAAGCCAAAGAAGCAATTTGTCGTTCTACTAATCTAAAGACATAACTATTGAGGTGAAACTTTGGGCAGTCTTAGGCATGAAAATATAAAGTAGTTAAGNCGAAATATTCTTACTTTCTCTATGGGGTAGAAGGTCGTACAAGTTGTTTTGTGAACAACTGCATAACTTGAACCTGAAGCCAAAGAAGCAATTTGTCGTTCTACTAATCTAAAGACATAACTATTGAGGTGAAACTTTGAGCAGTCTTGGGCATGAAAATATAAAGTAGTTAAGTAAGCCCTCAATAAGCTTATAAGCAAAAGCTTCCGCAAAATCCAATGCACGAAACTTCCGTCAATGCGAGGTTTAGGGAGACTATTTTTCCAAAGCTTTCATGTAGTCATGTGATCTAAATGAGCTGTAGGCAGCAGNGGCAGTCTTAGGCATGAAAATATAAAGTAGTTAAGTAAGCCCTCAATAAGCTTATAAGCAAAAGCTTCCACAAAATCCAATGCACGAAACTTCCGTCAATGCGAGGTTTAGGGAGACTATTTTTCCAAAGCTTTCATGTAGTCATGTGATCTAAATGAGCTGTAGGCAGCAGAAGAGCAAGGTTGAGGGCAACCCTCTGGGAAGGGGAAAAGTTAGGCTTGGATCCGATAATTGGAGTGTTTGTAAAAAAGTCGCTTTTCTTTGAAAGTCATTAGACAAGCCCTATTTTTCAGCTTTTTTTTGTTACTGATACAACATGTTTTTGCCCAAAAAAAACTAATAGAAAAGTCGTCAAATAAGCTCGAGTTCAAACAGACATGTTTCTTTTTATCTGAAACTAAAAAAAAAACTATAGTTTTCAACCCTTTCCAAACATGCATTATGGGGCCCATTGGACTTTTCTTTCATGTGTATCTTGTATGACATTCCTAAAGATATCTGTATTATACCTTCCTACCATTGCTTCATATGAAATTATGGATAGTTTTCATCTAGAATTGTTTCTTTAATTAGTGTGGACCATTCCTAAGCAACCCAAAGTCTGCCCTTTGGAAGCTCAACCTTTCAACTACACCTACTGACCTAATATTCTTGAAAACCCCCTTCCCACAATAAAAAAAATATATATACGAAAAATATGACATTACTCGATTACTCGATGTTACTTGTGTTATTGCAAAGGTCAATNTATATATATATATATGAAAAATATGACATTACTCGATTACTCGATGTTACTTGTGTTATTGCAAAGGTCAATGAAAGATTGAATACAAACTTAATCTACGTCATTATTTTGTACCTCAAACTTAAATCCGCATTCCCTNATGAAAGATTGAATACAAACTTAATCTACGTCATTATTTTGTACCTCAAACTTAAATCCGCATTCCCTTCTTTTCACAACTAGAGAGGGAAAGAGCAGGGCCGGCCCAATAGGGGAGGGAAAAAAGCGTGGGCTTTAGGCCCCAATTATAAAATAAGCCTCATATTTTATATGTTCATAGTATAGTTGAGGTTCAAACTCTAAATTCNGTCGCATAATCAGCAGATTGATTAAACTTTACAACAAAACATGTAAAGATGCTTTGAAATCTCTATAAAAATCACAAAATTTTACATAAACAATTTCAATACGTGTAGTCCATAAAAAGATGTAAATTTGCTTCAAAAAATGAAGATTTATGGCATAATTATTGTAACTTGCTTGAGCAGTTTTATCAAAAAAAAAAAAGACCCTGTTTCCAACTCTTTTTATCACTCTTTCTTTTCTTCCTCTTCCCATCCCTTCCTTTCTTTTGATCTTGTATCCATGGTGTTAACATTTAGGAAGATCACTTGGAGGTGGCAAAAGAGACTCGTTAGGTCCCTTGCCATTGTCAACCANTTTACGAAAATAGTTTTTTTGCTCATGCGGTAAAAAGATGTTTATCTAAGAAATATTATTAGAATCTAAAAAATTGATTTAATTTGCTAATGTAATGATGTAATAACGATGTGCTACTCTTGGATTTCTTCATAGAAATTTATCACTTGACACATCATTATACTAGCAAATTAAATCAATTTTTAGGTCTCCATAACATTAAGCATATCAAATCTGCCATGATGATGGCTTGAGACTTGCTCAGTTTTGCCAGAGTAAAGCTATTGAGATGTTAAAAAAATTATCTAATTTACTGACCTAATGATGTAACAGTGATATAGTTCAATAGTGTTGTTCTAATTGTAACTCTTGAATTTTTTTACTAGGACTCTATTACTTGATGCATCATTATATTAGTAAATTATGTCAATTTTTTATGTCTCAATAGCATTACTCTTTTTGCTAATTGTAGAACATAGATTTGTGATTCAAGTGTTGAAATAACCATATTGTCCCGTGGTATTTCCATGGCAAGCTTGTTTTCTGGGGAAATAATTGTGGTTCCTAAGGAGAATAAAGGAATTTGGATATATATTTCTTACCAGTGTATAGAGACGTTGTACTTGACATGGTTGACGACCTTGACGAGGACATTATCACCCTCCCTAGCGTAGAGAGTGGGTCCTGGGAAACGTCCATTGACAGTGACAATGGGTTTCGTTGAACACAATCTGGTGGTGTTCCTCATCACTACCTGCTCAAGTTACATCAAAGTTTAGACCAACAAACTCAGCTAACTCAACTGTTCGTTACAAGTTAGATGGAACTTCTTCAAAACACTACTGTTCNTAACTCAACTGTTCGTTACAAGTTAGATGGAACTTCTTCAAAACTCTACTGTTCGGGTAGTTGGGAAACAAGATGATTAAATTGAGGAAAACGGTAAAAGTTTCACTCAAATAATAGTGGGCTTGAAATGAGAATCAGTTTCGAGATAAGACTATTTATCATTCATCATTTATAGACTCAACTCTCTATTGTAAATGAATATCTTTTGTAATGGGTATAAGTTATATTGAATGTATCTTACTTGGCATTTGTAGTGACAACATTACTTTTGGCATGCTAGATCAGCTGGTTTGATGAACTTACAAAAGTTGCTAACTCATGAACACATGCAATAACATTAATTTTTATCACTATCATCAATGCTGATCAGATCTTCTGTTTTATAGAGAGATGACCCTTAGTCAAGTAAGATAAATACGCAGGAAGAGAGCTACGACCTACGAGTCTATGATAGATCGTAGGTTTCTCCTGCCTGGAGGGCATGAAGGAAGATTAGTTGATGTGTACTAACTATGTACTTATTACTTACATTGAATTTGTAGTGTCGAACCCTGCATTCAACCATCACCGGAAACAAACATGCCACAAGGATCAAAAGTCGAACCCAAGACTCCATCTTCAAATCCCTCTCTCTCGCTCACTCTTGCTCTCTGAATGTTGTTTTCTGTTTAGCTCTAATGTCTCTCTTGCTGTTCCGTCATGGTATGACTGGCCAACTTCAACCTTATATAGGTGACAAGTTCATCGCTGCCATGTCGTTTTTCTTTAGTTAGGTGAGTGTGGATTCTTGCAAACAAAGTATTCTTATCAAGTCTCCGGTTATCCAAATCATTTCTTGCATATTACATAAAGTTTTTTTTGTTTTATGGACCATGTGTAGTATTGGAAGTTAAGTTATTTAGCTCCTTGTTCCATATATATTTGATTAGTGCCATAATTATACAAAATACTTGGTTTGAAATTAATGGCTAAAAGTTTAATATTAATAGGGCAAATAGTACTTTGCATCATGAAGGTTCTATGTATTTTTAACTTGCCCCCTGAAAAATTAAAATTTTCATGCTATTAACCCTCAATCAAATGAAAACGTAGCACACAAAGTTTTCATTAAAAATACTTAAAATTGAGTATTATGTAAATAATTATATACAAAAAAATATGATAATGGTTCTATTTCAGGGGAAAGGAGGCTGAAAACTTCAGTTTTTGTTAGAATCAATGGAAAAGAAGTCGGGTCCATTTGGATCCAGGCTTATTGGATAACTTTTCTATCAGTTTATTGGGGGCAAATTAGCTTCTATAAGCACTAATGAAAAATTAATAAATCAGGCTTATTAAAAGAAAATTTGACTTTTTTGAGAACACTCTAAACTGTTCTCAGAGTTTTTTTTAACTCTGACTCTTTCACATTATTTTCTAAATCTCTGTTTCGCACCCAAAAAAATCAACTGTAAACATGTCTAATATAACAAATACAATAAAAAATTTCATCGAAAAAGGAAATGAACATTTTCACTTTTGGACTATATTACTTCAATTTCATCTGATTTTGAACGTGGGATATGAGAATTTTAATCTTTTAGGATATAAATTGAAAATTTAAATATCTTCTAGGTTGCAAAGTGTCATCCACCCTAAATTGTTTATCCTATTTGCAGTTCATATGGTATTTGCGAAACCTACCTATAAGTCCCTATTACAACCTACCAAAACAATGTATTTAACAAAAGAAATTCAAATGCATTTAGTTTTTTTATGTTAAGGCTGTTATCAGTGAGTTTGGTAGAAATTAGTCAACTAGATCACTACACGAGACCGCAAAATTTGTGCATTGTGCCTCTGTTCTAGAATCATAATTCAGTGGAAGGGTTTGTAGGGTGAAATTTAATTCAATTACTATGTTGTGTTATGAGTAAATTTAGCTGGTCTGTGTTCTGGGTTATGCCTCAACACTGGACTTCTGTATGAACACCTAATGTTACTGGGATAGTGGGTCGATTTGGTATATGGCATAAATACGGATATACAGTACAATATATTTTTCGATAGAGGGTGTGATGGGGATAGGTTTATTTGGTATTAGACACCATTTGGTGTCTGAAATTTAAATTATATGGATCCCCAATTCGTGAGACGTTAGGGATATTTAGGATCCCTATATCTATATGTACGGACACCTGCGCATCTAACAACCAGGCTGGTAGGCCATGGGCTTTACTTGCCTACCAACCTTAACGATGGCTTAGAAATTTAATGTAAACAGTCAAATGAAAGTTTAAGAATAATAACAAATTTCACAAATTTTTTTGCATTAATGTTAAGGTTACAATGGCTAAAAGTTTAAGAATAATATGTTCATCATTGGTCGAAAATACGTATTTCTATCAAATTCTAAA